ATAATCAACAAATTCAAGAATGTATGATATTTGAAAATCGTCATACACCATATACAATGGAAGTTATACGTGTTGCATGGGAACAGTTACATACACAATTAACAAGACAAATAGCTGAAATTAAAAATCAAATATATACATTAGAAAAGAAAGGAATTAGTGAAGAACAAATGAATGAATTTCGAGCTGCTTTTGCTCATTTTGATAAAAGTCGAAGTCGTATGTATTTTTATCGCACTTTTTTTTTAAATTTCTATATGATTTTATTGATTATTTTTAAAAATAGGACGACTTGATCCAAAAGAATTTCGTTCATGTTTAATTGCTTGTGGTTATAATATACGTGAAGATCGACAAGGTGATGCTGATTTTCAACGTATTATGGCAAATGTTGATCCAACACATACAGGTTTTGTTACATTTGAATCATTTTTGGACTTTATGACACGTGAATGTTCTGAAGAAGATAGTGTTGATCAATTAACACTTGCTTTCAAGACACTGTCTGCCGATAAAGTAAGTTCGTTAATCATAAATAATTATAGTACTTTATTCTTTCATCAACAATTTAGAGATAAAAAAGAAGTATTGATATATGAGATAGAATTACCAATTATACTAATTAGTGCAATCAGGAGAATATGTTTTTTTCTTACGTATAAATTAGAAAGCTTTTAGTTAATATAAAATACCATGTTTCAGATCCGAGAAGACTATTTCTAACGAAATAGTCTTCTAGGAACTAAAAACTATTGTGTCCATTTTTTCAGAAAGCTTACCATCATAGTTCATCTAATATAAAATGTAAAAATCCATTATTGTTAAAATTTTTGCTACAACCTTATTTATGTAATTTAAGTTGAAAAACAGTATTTTATTCATATTTTCTCTTTCGGAGAAGCGAATATGTCTTTTTTTGTGGAAGCGTAGATATATTGTACATGATACAATAAATCAAAAAATTGACCGAAGTTTAACCTGATCTTCGAATTATGATTTCAGGCATTTTAAAACTCAAGAATATTAAGATGAATTATTATTATTATCAATCATTTTTCTTTTTAGCCTTATATTACAGCTGAAGTACTTAAACGTGAATTACCAGCTGATCAAGCTGAATGGTGTATACAACGTATGAAACCATATACAGGCGCTGATAGTGTACCTGGTGCATATGATTATAAAACATTTTCATCGGCTCTTTATGGCGAATCGGATCTCTAAACTGTTTTCCTTTTTCTATGGACGATCTCTATTTTCTATCTCTTTTATTTTTTCTTCATGTATCGTAATCTAAAACAAAACAAAAAAACATTTTTTTGTTTTTCTTTTTTCTTTTATGCACAAAGACATTCATTTGTTCTGATGATCAAATATAATTACACGAAAAAAAAACAAAACAATACAATCAATACCTATTACTCACTTCGTTGAATACATGATTTAAACTTCACTCTTTTCTTGTCTTGTATCTTTATTATATTTGTTTCTTTCTTTGATCGATTATCTTTGTTTTTTTTCATATATAAATTCAACGATAAAAAAAAAGAAAAAGAAAACGAATGAATTTTGAACTTGTTCCAAATGCTACTTTTTACTCTCTCTCTCTCGTTGTTGTATTCAATGTAAGAGAAAGAAATTTTGGTGTTATCTCTTTTCTTCTTGTTGTTCTTGATGAATATACGTACTTTTTTTTTTATTGTTGGTCATTGACCAATATTGCTGTGTTGGTTAAAATAGAAATCAAAACTTAACAAACATTGTTTATTAAAGGAATTTGAAAAGAAAGAATGAAAAAGTCATATTATTTACATGTAAATCATATTACACGTTTCTTACACAGTTGCGTAACATAACGACAAAGTTCTTTCAACAAAATTAATCTTTAGTTTTTATTAAAGAAGTTCTAGAGGATTACTTTGACAAACTCTCAGAGTACAATAAAGTACAAAACATTCACTTTTTTCTTTTAGACATGGTGCATGTATCTGCATTATTGACACATTGGAGTTCATTCGTATGGTGTTTAATTTTAAACATAAGACGAGCAGCGATAAAAAAAAGAATCTATTTTAACTTATTTTTTATTCAAACAGATATATAAACTGATGTGTAGAATAACAATTGAGTTGATAACGATTGTGGTCAAAGTTTTGTATGAATTATACTTCGTTTGTGCCTTGGAGAAGATTCTTTCATATGATAAAACAAAAAAAAAATATTTAAATTTATTATGCACAATTAAAATGTGTTGCAAATATCGAAGAACTTGTAGATTCTTTTTAAGCGAAAAGTAATGAACTGTCTACATTGCTCTTATACCAAAATATATTAGAAACAAAATTAATGCAAAACTAAAACGTCATTGTTTATTATAATCTATTTTATATGCAGCACTGCTTCAATTCTTATCATTAAATAAGACTATTGAGATTTTCTTTTATGTTACTGTAGTTTATTCATCTTATGATTATACGACGATCATAATGTTAAATAACACTACTTCTACATTAAATCAATATATCGAATCAGACAACGAGTCAGCCATCACGAATGATTCTCTTGATGCTATAATATTTATTATCATTGTTCTTTTATTTTATTCATCAAGTTTTGTATTTCTATTGGGAATGCAAATGCGAACATCTGTTGAAAATCTTGAAGAATCAATAAATCCTTCAACAAAATTATTTGTTCAAAATTTTCGTGATCTAAGTCATAATAAAGAAATATTAGGTAAATTTAAATGTTAATTAAAAAAAAAGACAAAAGAAAAACTTTTTTTTATTTTATTTAGAAGAACTTGTTAATAAACAAAAACGAGATAAATTATGGGATATTTATTTAGGTACATCAGGAGATATGAATGATAAAATAATTCGTGCTGAAATAGTTCGTATTCGTAATATTGAAAAACAATTAGCAACAATGAATGAAAGACATAGAAGTAGTAATAGTAATCAAAGAAATAATAATAATGATAATTTTTCTATTTATTCTAATCTAGATCAATGGTCATCAGTTACAGATTTATCTACATCAAATTCACGTTTACGTACTCGACGTCGATCATCATTAGATTATAAAATTCTCGAAGATTGGAAAGTACTTGGTGATGAATTAAAAATTCATGAAAATTGGCCATGGGCTATACAAAAATTAATTATTCGACGACAATTACGACGACAACAACTTGCATCAGAATGTGGATCAGCACCTTAATCATTATTGAATGATTATTTTATAAATATTTTCGTTTACTTTAAATCTTCCTTCAGATTAGAACGATGCTTAGAATAAGTTAATGAACTCTTTAAACGTTAATCCTTTTTCAACAAAAACAGAAGAGAATGAATATTTATCTCTGACATATTGATAATATTTATTGTCAATAAAATGAAATAAATGATTCATTCATTCGATAAATACTTTTTTCTAATTTCAACTCAACTTATTCAATAAATATAGCTACTTAAAACAAAGTTTGTATTGCTTATATGTATACGCGTTCAATTAGAAAAAAACAACGTGCATGTTAAATATGATCAAAATAAAAGGTTCTATTTTGATCATGTAATTGTAAAAAATGATATTTGTACAAAATATTTTCTATTTTAGTCTATCTCATATCGATTATTTAATCAATATTTACACTATTGAGAATAATTTAACGGTTAAATTTTATGATTGTATTTATTATTGTTGACTATTGAAACATATTTCTTTACAACAAGATAATAAATCATAGAATTTTTCTCATAATTATATCATTCATACTTTTCAATATTTATGGATTTCTAATATTCAATGAAAGTATCACATTATACAAGTAGAATTGAAATATTGACAAAACTGAAGCATAAAGTGTTAGCAAAAAGTTTAACAACAACATATTCATTCTATAATGTTAAACAATTAACTCAAATACAGATAGTGATTTTTGAATAGCCAATTAAGTTTTCGATATAATGCATTCTATACTAAATGAATTATGATAAAAAGATTTTCTAAAAAATCGGACGCTGTAGTTTTCAACTTCCGAAAGCTATGTTTTAATAATGATATTTTAAAGAGCATAGAATGAAAGGTTACTGCCTTCTCTAGAAACCTCCCTAAGTGTGACAACAATGAAAGAAAGGCGTTTTTTTTTGTTGGTTTTTGTGATACTAAGGAAAAGTTGGAGAAAACAGTCGCTGATACACATGGGATAAATTTTATAAAAACTCGAAAAAATACAGCCATGTGACAGCAATATAATTTGTTTTAATGACTTTAAAATGTAATTTAATGAATTTAAACATGATAAATATCGAAACATGAATGATATTTGCATTTCTAATGAATATTTTCTCAATGAAAAGTATGATTATATGGATATGTCAGATTAGAAAAGAACAATCTAATGATCTAATTTGGCTAGGTTCGACTGTAATGAGCGATTATATGACGAAGTATCTAAAACAAGACTGTTCAACATTAATTCAAAATCAACATCCTAACGGTAGTATAAATCTGAATAAATCATCGTTTCTATATACACTTTTTCTCCTTACTTCAAACAAGCTAGCATAAATATCTTATAATTATTTATAAAGTATAGAATGAGAACATTGAATTGAGGATAACAATGTATTTCAACATGATTTTTTGCGCTGTTAAAATTCTTTATAGTGCATTTTTTTTTAATTGTGAAAATGAATTCCTTGAAAAAAATTCTAGATTATTGTTATACTTCAAAATAGGATTATTTTAATAAAGAACTTCATTAGTATTCAATCATACTATTAATGATCTGTATTTAGCGGTAACATCACACAAATTCGACCTTCTTCAAAAAAGGGCATTGCAAAGAAAAATTACACACAAATGGTTAATATGCATATCACCGTAGAATTAAACAAATAATAATGATGATACATTAGTTTCTTAATTATTTATATCTTTTCCTCAGGTTTTTAGCCTTTATGTTGATCTTTGTTTGTACTATGTACGATAAATAAATGGCACAATGCGACTATAATTTTCATCTTTCATTACTCGATACTTTTCATATTGTGCATAATCATTTATTAGTATTTAAAGGAGAGGTAATATGTACGTTCTCTTATTCTGCATATTAACTTTAACATAATTGAAAATTTGTTAGATTTAACACATTTCCAAAAAAAAGAAATATCTGTTACTTGCAATCTGGATAAATCAAACAAGATCACTTGAATCGATATACTTGTCTATTTATAATAGCAAAAGAACGATGGAAATATTATATTCTTTATATATACGTAAAACGATATAACGAAGCTATCGTTAGGAAATAGAAGAGGGAAGCAAAAAAGATTTTTTTCTCATTTATAGGTTTGTTCTAATGATACTAGAATACGTAATATTCATCTTTCTATATATAACTCTCTACAAAAGAAAACAATCGACAAGTGTGATAAATATAATATGTGATTATGGCATTGATTTGCAGATCATCTATCGTGAGAAATTATCAATGATGCTTTCTATATTGCTCGTATGTATTCTTCTATGAATAATATTTTTTAAAATCTATAATATTATTATATTTAGATAATTTGTTTGATATGTCATCAATGTCAAATATTTATTTCTGCAGCTATTGTTAAGCATATGATACCTATTGACGACATTAATATTGTTAAAAGTGCATCACATCTACATACGAATACTGGCAAAGTAGTCAAAAATCATGGATCTTTATCTGATGATATAATTGAATTAAATATTGGTGGTCAAAAAATGACTACATTACGCTCGACATTGACTGCTGTACCTAATTCAAAACTAGCTTTAATGTTTAGCAAAGAAAATATGAACAAGACATTATCTTTAGATAAACAAGGTGCAATATTTTTTGATTATAATCCAATTTATTTTAATTATTTACTTGATCAATTACGAATAATCAAACGAATGTCAAATATATCAGGATATCAACTACAACTTTCATCACCATTCATTAACACACACATAAACTTTACACATATGCTTATTGACCTTGGACTAACACGTAAGTTACACATTCTATCATCAATTTAGTAAGTGAATAGTGTAAAGTTGTTTTTATTGATTAAAACAATGTTGACAATTCTTTCTAAAAAATATAAAATCTTCGTATTTCATTGATTTTTAATATTTAAATCAATAAAATTATTACACATGTCATAGAATAGTTAGAGTCAATTTTGTTGAATATTTATTTTCCTATAATCATGTTGTAATATAAATAAAGCATCAATTATATTTCTTTTCTGATACTATGTATTTTATTCATTGTAGCTGATCATTTTTTATCACCAATGGAAGGTACACATATTAACTTGACTGTAAAATCTCTCATTGGTTGGAAAGAATGTTATCGTAGTACATATAATGTATCATTTGATTTATCTATATTAACAAAATTTTGTAATGGTAGTCGACTTCTTGTTGCTTGTCGTTCAGTTAATAATAAAAAAATACTCACTCTAGCAGGCATTGGACAACGTGAAGATATTCTACATCCATGTTTACCAAAACAATGCAAAACTAATGGTAAATCTATGAAGTTAAACAAGAAATTCATATGTTCATCACATCATCAATGTATTACTCAAGCTAAACGTGGTGTTGGATGGTATCATGTGAATAATCAAACTTGGGGTTTTGTACGTGGTTCTTTATCATTTGTTGTTAATCCATGCGATTCAAGTAATTTAGATTCTGATTATCGACTTTGTTGGACACTTCAATCAAATGTCAAAAAGATTAGTGGTGATAGATGTGGTAGCACACAAAATTTACAAAAATCAAATCAATGGGAACGTCTTATTTATTATATTAATTAAACTTTTTCCCTTGTTTTATATTTAATAATAAAAAAAATTGATCTGAGTGTTAGTTTAGTCATATCCTTCATTTTACCCAATTTTATACGTTAATAATTATTCACATATTTGATTGAACGATAATATTAAAGAATAATTACAATAAAAATAATGCGCTAGGTCGAACTTTTATTGCCAAAGAATAAGAGAATTGGTGTTAAATCTCAGATGTGTCAATCTTATTTCGTTGAAAAAGACCATGCGTTTATTATATTCATAATAAATACTCATCAGTCTTTATATCCATAAGAGATATCCGAGAAGTTCTGAAGCAATTTCAAACACATATCGTTCTTGTATTGAGAAAATTCAAACATTTAAAGTGTCGACAGTTTAGTGCATCTACTTAATACTGAATGTCTAGAAAAATGGCAGTCTCACGCTTTTACTATAGGTGACAAGCTACGAAAACATTATCATCTATTGTTTTTTTCAATTTTTCCATCATCCTGCTTTTTAGTTTTAAAACAATACAAATTTTCGAAATACAAATCTAGCACATATAAAGTTACCAACATTCATGAATTTCACTATCATCCTGATCACTTGCTAATTTCAATTGTGATGCTATGTTATCTATCATTCATTGGCATAGAGAAATATTAAATAGTTCTTCTGTCTTTTCTTAGTGTCATTTTTCAATATCCAATATTATCGTATTGTCGTATTCGTAATTTCTCTTTATGTGTACCACAAACATTTTCTATAGAGTGAATATCAACTAGTTTTACACAGCAATTTAATTATTCAACTAGATTGATAAAAAAACGTTTAGCAGCATACAAAGCCACCAGTATCTTTTATTTGTGATTGTAATCATCTTGAAAAATTATTAATTTGTAAATCACTGAATTCTTTATCTACTTTTTTCTGCTACAATCACTCGAACGAAATTTGCATACCGATCACCAGTACAATATATCTCTTATTATAAGAAATATCACCTCATAATGTAGCATTTTTCTAGAATTTTTGTTTTGATTTGATTATTAATTGATGTGGAATATCAAGTAGTGATTCAGCATAAACATCTTCATTATGTTGATTGTATTGAAGCTTTAACGTAAATATACTACTAAAATGACTGTTTAAAACGTAATTACACTTGTACAATTCACTACTTTGTTCTAATTTCATAATTCTTTCGTAATCTTCTTACGAACATAAAACTTAGAACTTTCTAGTGATTCATTAAATTTTCGCGGTTTGTCGTTTCCACTATCTTTTTTTACTTGTCGTAATCGAATTTCTACGTGCTAGGTTCTTCTTTTTCCAGTTTTTCCCTTGATATTTCTAATAACGAAATTTGTTCAATTACAAAAATATTTGTGATCGATTGGATTAAATGTGAATGAATTTATTGATAATTATTATTTCTGATTCTTATGAGCATTTCTACTTTTGTTTTCTAAATTTTTAACGAGAAAGAAACTATTAATCGAACTCAAATTATTTTGATCAAGACATCCTCGATGATTTTTATAAGATCTTGTTTAATAGAAATTGCAATTTAAAAAGTAATGTTTGATTTCATTTCAAAACATAATTCAATGTTACTTTTGATGATGGATATCGATTACAAAAAAAAAGCGGTTATTATCTCTATGGTTTTTTAATTCTACAAGTGAAATAGCTTCTTAATTCTGCAAAGGTTGCATTAACTGTATCCAAAAAAATTTTCAGTGCACTACTCTTAGTGTCTTTATTTACTCTTCACAATAGAAAAAAATAACAAACAATTATTAAGCTCCGTAGTAAGAAATCTTATGTTACAGTTATTAGAGTCATTTTTCAGTTTGATCATTTACATGAACATATATTTCTTGATTCATCTATCCATCTTCGATTACCAAAATTTGTAAAAATTTACTATTTCTCAAATACGTCATATAAAAGAACATTTCCAATGATGATTTCATTCAATTACTCTTCTCAGTTTGACGCAAATAGATAATAATAACCTATAGGTTAATAATTCTATGGTCAACAAATATCTTACAGCCTCCTTCTATTCACTTACTAACCCATCTCTATTGAAAGCTAGAACAAAAGTCATTGCTGAAATTCAAATGAAAAAATTGAATGAAACTATTCCAATGAATCCGTTCATCTCTCTTTCTTATTTTAGATTAAGGGAACCGAAGTTTATCTTATCATCTAAGATAACATTACATATGAAAATTTCTCATCATATTTCTGTTCACTTATTCATTTTATTTCGAATACAAGAAAGCAAGATTCATCAGATGACTCAAAATGACATGGTAAATGAATATTTTTCAGGATAGTGTTGTTCATGTATTCATTTTAATATCAAAAACAAGAAAGCGAGATTTAGCAAATGATTCAAGATCACATAACAAATGAATCTTTCTTATCATTGTGTTGTTCATCTATTTATTTCATTGCGAAGACAAAAAAGTGAGATTCATTAGATGTTCTAAGATCACATGACAAATAAATATTTCTCATCATATTTCTGTTCATCTAATAATTTCATTTCGAAGATCAACAAACGACATTCATCAGATGGTTCAATGTCACATCACAAATGAGTATTTTCAAATATACTTCTGTTCATCTATTCATGTCCTTTTGAAGGCAGAAATACGAGATTCAGCAGATGATCCAAGATCACAAGACAAATGAATATTTCTCACCATACTTTTGTTCATCTATTCATTTTAATTTTCGAAGATAAGAAAACGAGATTCATTAGATGATCGAAAATTACGTAAAAAATTAATATTCCTCATGAGAGTTTTGTTCACTTATTCGTTTCATTTCCAAGATAAAATGGGAGATTTATCAAATGATCCAAGATCATATGGCAAAGAGATCTTTATAACTACAAGTTGCATGCTTTTATTCTTCTATTTGAATTACTTATTAACCAAAATTGTAATTTTAGCCATTGCTCAAAAACTATGTGATTTATGAACTATGTCGACTATTGCTTTTTTCAAATATATTGTTTCCTTCAAAAACAGAATTACGAATTGAGAAATTGACAAAAGACTAGAATAACAAAAAATAAATGTTACCATCATTTTGTTCTATTACTTTTTATGCCTGAACTGTCATCTTAAATTTCGCAGATGGATACAACATCATATAAGAAATACATACTTCTAACGAAAATTCTATTCAACAGTTACGTTTAATTTTCATTGTTAATGTTTTACCTTGACTAATTGATTGACAACAAGAATTGATGAAAAGCATACACGATTGTCCAGTCTAACTTCATCATGTTCTATAAACTACAAACAACACCCTCATCATTTTTTGCATATATGATAAGTCAAACGAATAATTGTTGTCCAATGATTATGCTCATCTATTCATTACGCTTTGAAGACAAGAAAGCAAGATTAATCAGATGACCTCAAATCGCATCACAACTGAATATTTTCCATTATACTTCTGTTCACGCGTTCATTTCATTTCGAAGACGAGAAAGCAAGATATATCAGATGATCTAAGATCACATAACAACTGAATATTTCTCATTATACTTCTATTCACACGTTCATTTCATTTCGAAGACAAGAAAGCAAAATTCGTCAGATGAATCAACATCACATTACAAATGAACGATTATGTTCCAATGACTATGTTCAAGTATTCATTTCATCTCAAAGACAGAAAAGCGAGATTCATCGGATGATTCTAGATCATATCACACATGAATATTTCTCATTATACTTCTATTCACCTATTCATTGAATTTTGAAGACAAGAAAACAAAATTCATGTGATGATTTAAGATCACATCACAAATGAATATTCTTCACGAGAATTTTGTTCACATATTCGTTTCATTTCGAAGGCAAGAAAGCAAGATTCATCAAAGGATCCAAGATCATATCACAAATGAATATTGTTCATTATACTTGTGTTCATCTATTCAATTCATTTCGAATATCAGAAAGTGAGATTCATGAGATGTTCCAAAGTTACATTACAAATGAGTAATCTTCACGAGAATTCTGTTCACGTATTGATTTCATTCCGAAGACAAAAAAAGCGAGATTCATTAGATGTTCCAAGATCACATCACAAATGAATATTTCTCAAAAGACCCCTATTCACTTAATCTGCTCTCTTTGAATGAAAATTAGAAATAAAAACAATGATAAGAAATACGTAGAAATCGTAGATGCATTTACCAACGGTCTTGTTCACATTTATTCTGTATTTCAAAGTAGATGTTGCGAGTCGTTTGATCAATGAAAGTCAACATAATTGTGAATAATGAAAATCACAATTATGTTGAACTATTTCATTCAGTGTGAACAACATGTTGCAGATTATCAATCTGCTTTTTAATAGCATGTTTGATGAAAACTTTTAATCACATTTGTTAGAAACTGGCTCACTTATTCAGCTGAAATCAAGCTTATAAAGTGATGTGATCTGCTTGTTAGATACTGCATAGAAAATGAACTAATATAACATTTTAGACAAACGTTGCCGCCACAGGGAAGTTTTATTTCAATAGTATTTGCAGATGACCGCCGCTTCTCTAAATAGAGAGGCTCATTAAGTGATCTTAATAACAGAAACTCATGTTATTGATAACTTTTTGATAAAAAAATATGTACACTAAATTGCAGAAACTATGGTTTGACGATGTATACAGGGGTATCATATTGTTTCATATAGCTTAAGTCGTTCTAAATAATCGAAATAAAGCAAGCATAGCTTTCTAAGTTTTTTATTAGACTGACCAGTGCCAAAATATTTCGAAGAACGTCAAAATCTCAAAGGTTTTAGAATGAAGCGATTTCTTGTTGATAAAGTTTTTTGCTTGTCAATGATTTCTGCTCTTTGATAATGTCATAATAAATAGAGTAATTAAAAGCTCTTAATATATTAAACATCCTCACTTAAGGATAGTGAAATGTCTCTTATAATTAAGAAAAACGAATAGTTAGCAAGTGTAAATTCCAGATTCC